GGGGGCGGGGTGGGGGCCCCTAGGCCCCGAATCTTTAGGCTCCTAGGCCCCTGGGCTCTATGCCCCTAGATTCTAGGCCCCTAGGCCCCTAGGCCCTTTTGAAACCAGTAAGAACAAGAACTTGGACGTTTTTGCTTCAATGGCAGAAGGGGGGGGGTTCCTAGGTTCTAGGCCCCTAAGCCTTAGGCCCCTAGGCCCGGGGGCGCGCACCCGGCGCACCGTCGTCACTTTTGAAACCAGTAAGAACAAGAACTAGGACGTTTTTGCTTCAAGGGCAGGAAGTAGTGGTGGTAGTAGTAGTAGTAGTAGTACTAGTAGTAGTAGTAGTAGTAGTTAGGCACGATTCAATGTCCGAGATTTTTCGGTACCACCTGTAGCAGCATTCCCTTTGTGCTCGACCCGCCAAGCCGGGGTCGGCGGATTAATTTTGAAATATATAGGAGAAAATTTGAATTATTCTTTCAAATTTTATTAGGATGATAGATAGATAGATAGAAAAAATTAAAAGGAATAATCTAGATATTTTGATATTATTATTATTATTGAAAAAAATTCAGGAAATGATGATTTTGATTATTTGATATCTACGTATCTCTCTATTCGGATTTTAGGTAATTAGCCTTAAATATTATTTCGACGGCTGGTCTGGAAAATATACGATTGGATTCTTAAGAAATCGAAAATCATTCTTCAATGAATCGGTCTAAATAAGATATCTAAGATTCTTAAATATAAAGAAGAAGAATTTATTATAATATTCATTTTATATAATATTATAGATATTGATAGTAGAAATGAATTTAGGAGGCATAGGTACGATCGATTTATTTAGAAATTAAAAATTCGATTTTCAAAATTATTTATTTATTTTCTCTATAAATTCATTATATAATAAAAAATGAAAATTAGTAAGATAAGATTCTATACGAATGAAAAATCGTAAAATTAAGAAATATTTGATTGAATAAAATCGAATCTTAGTATAATGCATTCTATATTTATATTATTAGTATTGATTTATTGATTATAATAATGAGAAATATTTATTTGAGAAGACGTATAATGGGAAAGTTATTGAAAAAATAATGAATAATATATAAGATCGCAAAAGAAAGTCGATGAATGATTAATATATAAGATTTTCATGAGAAATTCTGAAGGATTCTGGAGCTCTACTTCAGATATTTTCTGCCGAATTCGAATATATATCTAATCGGTTGAGGACCTTCCACCCTTTCCTTGAAGAAGCTTATATACGTCTTCGTCGACACTCGCAATCGAAATAGAAATTCTGAAAGATTTTGGTTCTCTGTCTCGGATTTATGTGGTCTGCCGACTAATCGTATTTATCTCTCTTAAGTTATTTATGCGGCGGTTCGGGAGAGTGTATAAATCCCCGTAAATAGATATGAGCAATATATAAATTCTGAAAGATTTTAATTTTTATTCCGAATCTATATATCTCCCCGAATAATTACGAAGATCGAATAAAATTCTATTGAAAATCAACGAATAATTAATATATAAGAATATATATAAGAAAAATGATTAGAAGGAAAAGCTTCGTAGGCGACGATTGAAATTATTTGCGCGACGGCTCTAGAGCATATATCTATCTGAAATAAATTAAATCAGAAATTTGAATATTATATTTTCTTCTTGCTATTATAATATAAGATTATTTTTAATAAAAGAACTATATAATTCGTATAATTTTTTCTAAAAAAATGATATTGAATCTAATATAATATAACGAGATATTATAATAATTAAATTCATCTTCGATAGATTTAATGAAGATCATCGATTCAAAATAATTTCCAGGACTTATTGCCGTCCAACATCATCTGCCCCGCTAAATATTTCACGGGCCTTTGTCTTCGTGTCTCATTAGTTAGATTATTCAAGAGCTATTTAGCAATTATCATTATAGAAAGCATCGAATTTGAGCTTCCCAATCTATCTAATTTTTTTTCCAAAGGCGGTCCTAAATATTATTTCTCCGGGCAAATTATATCTATAAATATATAACAATAGACGGTTTTTTTTAAAAAAAATGGCGATGTTTATATATTTCATTTCAAATCGAATATAATAGTAAATAAACGAAATCTTTAAATATCAGAGAAAATCCGAAAAGTCTCAAAGATTCTAGGATTTCCTATGGGCGAGAGATGTTCAAATGAAATCTATAAATTCTAAAAATGTCCGATCGAATGAAATCTAATAGAAATATCCTATATTTTCAAAATTTCGTCCGAGGTCAAATCCTCAAAATCTTCAGAATTTGAATTATTTCATATATATTCTTCGTATTGGGCGAACGTTGAAAATCACGAGAATTTATATTTTCTTTCAAAGTCGGAATATATAGTAAAATATAAACGATTTTGGAGATGATTTCGAATCGAAATTCTCGACGAGATTTTCAAGATTTCTTCCGTATAAGGTTCGCGCAAAATTGATTATGGAGGCCTTCCGTGCGGTCTCAAATCTGTTTGTATCTTCGTTTTCAGTTTATTTTGGCCGATGTATCTCATTTAAAATAATTATATTTGCGGGCATCTCTCGCCACGTTCTTTTCTAGAAATTCAAGCCTGAGCGTGAGAGGATAGCTGAGGGCCCTGGGATTATTGACGAAAATTTGGGCGTTCTTTCATGTTTGGGGTCATTGAGAGGATTGACGCTGGTTTGGGATTAAGGAGGTCTTACGAGCATGTCGATATGTTTTAGCGACTTGAGAAATTGGGTTCTAGTCACTTGTTACGCCTCAATAAGTAGGTGTGATTCTTCAACGCCCCTGCCTTCTAAGATTGCAAGTCTTTTCTTTGCGTGTTCAAAAGGCTGACAGCAGTGAAAGAAGCTTTGCTCCGTCTAGTTATTTACACGATTCAGCCGAACCACCTCCTCTCTCTGGCAATATCGTCCGCGTTGACCTTCGCTCGCGACCATGTGCTTGTACAATATGAGAGGGCAAACCTTTGCAAGTGTCCTGCCTCCGGATGAGCGGGATCATGTCCTTGGAATGCAAACCCACCAGGAAGGCTTCACATTTCGTGACTCCAACGAAGGCAAGGGACGTGGATGATTTACCAACTCGGCTCTGGTTGGCCTTTGGGCAACCTGTTCAAGTCCGGGCCGCTTTCCCAGCAGAATCATACGAATCGCGAGGAAATTATGTGATGCATGCCTCCGCCTCCAGCTCCGGCTTTGTCAAGGTGACACCTGTCATCAAGAGTAATACTGGCAATGTACGCATGGTGTCCTACTTGCCGTAACGCCTGCAAGATCTGCAGCAATGCGGAAAATTGACGTCTGAACCTGACCCAAAAAAGACTGCATTTTCGCCTCAACCTCATGGGGTCATCCTTTGCCTGGTCTCCGGTCCTTGCGGACACAAAGTAGCTGTACAAGTCATTCTCTTCCGCGAACTGGCGCGAAACAGGCGTGGACTAGGGATGCTTCCGGAGCCGTTGCAAAGTCTTAAACCGCCTGATTGTGCTTGTCTGGTTTGACAGCTCGGATGTGTGCGAGATCATGCTTGTTTGCCATGAGGGCAATGTACCTCCAGGGTTTGGCAAAGTAAAATACCTCTGTTTGCATGACTTGAAGACGGACGGGAGTGGCGTCTGGTCGAACGTGCGCTTTACCAGGAAGAGCCAATCCTGTTTGAGCAGAAAAAATACTTGCATTCTCTGGCTCTCAAAGCTAAAGCTGTCCTCCAAGTTCTGGAAGCTCTGGTAGTTGGTAATATCATAACACAGTATAACCTCACCGATGCATCGCCCTTCAAGCGTTCGTCTAAATGACCGTTGGAAGTTCATTAAGATGGCGACAGCACTGGAGCCATAGATGTAGTTGCTCAACATCTTGCCACCAATGGATTGGCCGCCGATGTCCCAAATCTGAAGACATACCTGCATCATGATGGAACATCTACTTTGTGCCAGCAGAGTCACATCACGATACGATGTATCAAGCACAGCTGGGGTCACATGAATGTCACCTGGCAGAACCACCCGCTTGACGAAGAAGTCCAAACCTGAGGAGTTCCATTTCATCCCAGGCAAGTGCATGGACCAGCTGAGTCTGAAGGCTCTTGCACACCTAAACTCTTGGTTAGATGCTTGGTGGCTCGGCTCAGGGTCGTAACCAATAGCTTACGGCATCAGACTGCTTTACCCGTGAAACGACAACGCTATGAGAAACAACGAGAAAACTCTCCGGCAAAAACCGTGGCCATCATGTCCCATTTGTGCTGCGCACGCCACTACTTCAAATTAACAGCTGGAATGTGTTCCATGCCACCGTACACTGACATGGCATCTTTCAGATCGTGCACTTGAATGCGCAAATTAGTGGCGGAACACAGCGGTCCAACGCCCAGACGAACAGCATCTGACAAAAGCAGCGCAGCTGCCAAACCATGCAAGCAGCACTTCTAGCTCAAAACATCAGAGGAGTTCTGGAAGCTCTAGAACTGGACACTCACCGAAGCAAGTCGTATCCGGTTCAGCTTTGACAAACAAGCAGCATGCATGACCGGAAAGGAAGCAGCTAAGATCTGCCCTTTCAAATCAAAGAAGGCTCTGCCGCACCAATACTGCTAAGTGGCATGCACATGTCAAAGTGAGGCCCGGGCCTATTGTTTGCTTGTACTGCTTGGCAAAGTGATCCTGCATTCACACGTGTGTTCCCTTGAACCTTTTTTGAAAAAGCATGCAGCCGTTCGCAAAGCCACACAACTGTTTAAGCCATACAATGTGAAGTTAGCTTTGGGATTTGACCAGCATCCCTCTGCCAGCTACAAGCCATGCCACCTCGCAAAATCGCGTTGCCAGTGAAGTCTTTCCAACAGCACCATCGCCAAGCAGAACTACCTGGGCTCAGACTGCGCAAAAACATCGCGGAAAAACTCAGAGGAGAGTGCCTTGAATTGCAAGTATTCCGGCTCTTCCTCGTCATCATCTTCGCCCAGCCTGAAGCGCATAGCAAAGTTGGCTAAAAGAGAGCACTATCCGCCGTAGAAGAAGTGAGGGGAGGGCTGCGTTCGCAGTTCGGCCATGACACACCTTCCAAGGATCCGGAAGCCCGAGGATCCCACGAATTACTGTACATAGCATTAAAACGCCTGTGGAATCACAGGATCTTGCTTCGCAGGCAATGCGCTTGCCCTTCAGGTCACCTGGGAGAGACATACATCCAATGTGAAATAAGAGGAGGGATATGGGTCCGCGGCCAACCCTCGAACCTGCAAATCTGTACCTTCAGAAACCAGCGCTCAAGAGTACGAGAAAAAGCATGACACATTCCGTAAGAGAGTGCAGTTTGAGGAGGGCGCTTGTGAGGCCCGAGAAGCAGATGGAAGATGCTGCAGCCGCACAGATGGCAAAGGTGGCCAAAGCTTCAGGCTTCCACTCGCAACCAGCCAATGCCGATCGATACCGACTTCCACGCAGCACAGGGATGCTGCAGCAGAGTGCAAACGGAGCCGCATTACCTTTTACTATGCAAAGGCCATGAGCCATGTGCATCTGGTAAGACTTGCCGTGTGCTAACATTTTGCGAGCGGGTTACCGAACATCGGGTGACGGACCTGGAATTGCCATTTCTGTGCTGAACAACAAATCACACAGGCCTAAGGATCTCAGTTCTCGGTTACATCACCTTGTTGACAGCTGACTGGCACGGATATGTTGCAAGTTTTAGTTCTTGTCATGTGGCCAAGTGAGACTCCCATCACCCAGCTTTCTGACTTGATGAAAGCCTCAACCTATCCTTGCAGAAGCTCCACCCTATACGTGAACGAAGCACAGTCCTTTGCCAAAAACAGCTGAGGCTTAAAGGATAACATGAAAATCAATGCGCTTCGCTGCAAGGCTAGGATGTTTGGGCCGCGACAGCCTGAATTGGCATCTCACAGCAAGCTGATCGCTGGGTTTTTGTGGAGATGCTCGTCAGGTCCGGGCCCTTCTTAGGGAACTAAACACTGATACTAGCTGTTTCTAGCTTCACACATCCCAGAATCAGCAGCTGCAGCGGACCCACGTTCACGGTGAGATTTGAATTGCAAAACGAATCTGGTAGTGGTGACCAGACGCAAGCTGAAGGTGCTGTAGACTGCAAAGGTGCTTGTCTTGCAACATAACTTCCATGCCTTATGTTCTCTACTTTTTGCTGCGTTACCTAGCATACAAAGAAGTGCAGAGGCTGAACAGACCCTTCGCCTAAAGCTAAGCAAGCCCACCACGCTGGGAGCATGCTCGCCCGTTCCAAGCGGCGCATTCCAGATGGCTGTTGCTTCGACTAACTGGCCAAAGGTAGCACCCTTGCCAGAAATCTGTGGTCTTGCCACGCAGTGAAATCCAAGGACCAACCTCGACAGGATGTCAAGTCCAGCCAGAAGTCCAGGAAACTCATCCTCGACTCGCAAATTTCGAGGAATAAGTTGTGTGGCACAGATATGGTCACATAAGCATCAACCTGGAGCACACTGGGAGCATCGCCAGCGTTTGGCTCCAAGGCCCCGACCCAGAAATTTCACAGCGTAAGACAGCAAGAAGGCAATCTGCCAGGCCAACAATTCCACTGCAGCAAATAGCAACTACAATCTGCCAAGCCCAACAGGCGCACCAGCGCGACCAAAACAATGTGGAATGTGTTGTAGCCACCACCTCATGATCTCGTGAAGCCTATAGTCTGCTTCCGCCATCTTTCCCCTGAGCTCCGAGCTCTCACCGGGTAAATTCTTGGAGCACTTCAGATCTTCTATCTCAGCCTGGCCGCGCGACAAACATAGACGTGGCCTGCTGAAAATTAGCACACCGTGGCTCAGCACAGCCTCCAGTTTCTTCTTCTGCTTTTCTAGCATGAGAGTGTACCTTGCAAAGAGGCGTCTCAAGCACAACATCTGCGTTCGCACAGATGTGACACTGAGAGAACGACTGCACCAGCTCGTCATACTTTACTTGCAAATCAACTGGAGCCTGACGTGAGAGAGCTTTGCATTCATCGGCAGTGACGCAAACAGAGCTATCAGGAGCACTCGGCTCTGCAGCCCTGGTGTGGCCATGGCCCGCTCTAAGCTCTCCCAGTGGCCTCACCGCCTGCTCTGGAGGCATCTACGGAGCCGCACCTTGGCTGGCAACGCCTTTCGTGCGTGCTCACACTTGCAATCCGTTGTGTCACTCCTGCCCGAGGTTTCTGCCCAAACCCAAAGTTATCTTGATGGGTCGTCGCGGGCTCTGTTTCACTTTCCTGCAGCTCAGCTGCGCTTCGCAAGGAAGAAACAACTATGCGCTTACAATCACACAAGTCCTCCAGGACAACGTTCAGGCGCTGTTCTTCAATCTGTTCCTTCTTGAACTCACTCCACTGCTCTCGACCTCAGCGTGCAGTAGAGCTGGTCTTGCCAGTGCTAAACCCAACAGCGGAACATCTCAGCCACGCGCTCACTTGATTTGAGGAGCTCACCGCAACAGCCTGAAGTGAGTTGAGCACTTCGACGTCGAAACACGCAGCTGGATCAAGCAGCCTGGACCAGAAAGCGATGGTTTTGGCCCTCGCCTGGAGGCCTCAGAATCACAACGCAACAGCTCTCCCTGATAGAGCGTAAGATGCGAAGATGTTAAACCTCGAGCACAGCGCTGGAGAATTATGGTGACCTCTTCGCTGCCGTGAGGACTGGCAAGCAAGGCACAAGTGAAGACGGCTTCAATGACAGCAACCTGTTTGGAGCCTCAGGGTTGCTGCACTAGGCCGCACCAAGTAGGACTTTGGAGCTGTCGTCTTCACCTCCAATTGCAAAATTCCCTCGCCATGCACAGGGAAAAAAATCAGGCAAGGCCTTGAAAGCGACAGGACCACTAGTCTTGTTTGTAAGCCGCAGCTTCCTGAGAAGCCACAAGCTACAACGTGAACCGCGTAGCAGAAAAGGGTCCGCAGCCTGTTCGGCGACGTGTTAGTCGGCGTTTTACCTCAGCACGAATTTATTTTTGCTTTGCTGCTGTTGTTGATGGTGTCGTTGGATGCAAGAAGTATGAGAGCATGCAGAACAAAGATAATGCTACCAAAGTCCTGCAGCGATTGCTGAGAGCCGCACAGAAGTGCAGTGTAGTCGAAGGATCCAGCTCTAGGAGGGTCATGGGCATCCTGCCTATGGCCAGTGACGTGCCCGAACCAAATACAGATGGGGAGTGGAGTGAGAGAATTCCCCGGCACTTAAATGAAACAACTAGCAGATCACCTCCCCTGAACATGACTCTCTTACTGCATTGCGCAGCCGGCCTGCACCCCCTCTCCAGGTGTGCAGCTAAGGACCTCCGCACTTCCGCTCACGTATTGTACAGATCTGGTGTGCGCGACTTAGGTCCGGTGCTGAAAGGCCTGCAGCACAACCGGACAGCTGAAAGCGTTGGAAAGCCCACGAGCCAGAACGGAAGCATGGCTTTGTGCAGTGTCTATCATGACATGTTCATATCAGTGATGCGTGGCTGATGCAGGCAAACACTATAAAGTCAGCAATTCCAATCACGGAATCCAGTGAATCATGGTCTTGGCAGGCTCCAGGAAAATCAGCACTGGCTGCGTCTTGCAGCCAACTAGCCGAGCTTGCAGTCTTTGGCACGTCGGCAACCTACGGCAAACAGCCTTTTTGGTGATTCCGTCAGCCTGGTTGGCTTACCGGGACATATCCATTCGACGGCTCAGTTCTCGATAAAGCCTGTGCACAAATTGACGACTCAATCACGCCAATCCTCAGGCACACATACCTCACTTGTACCTGAACGCCTTGCCCTCACTGGTACCTCATGTTAAAACGAATTCAAGGTTTGAGGATGTTGCAGTTCAAGGTTTCCAGCTAGGTGCGTCTCTGCCGAGCCATCCGCGCTTTTTGTGCAGCATCTGGTCGGGTCTGTGTCCATAGCCCGAGTAGACTGCAAGTAACTTCTCTGCATTCTGTAAGACTATGGCGCAATCTTCTCTCTACGTCGGCCTTGGATGTGACCTATCCCCACAGGCGGAGTTGTAGAGCTCCATTTTCACGACGGCAGCCAATGCTGCTGGCGACCCAGCATCATCGGAACTCCGTTTCAACAACCGGCCCATTTGGTCCTCACTCGGATTGCGGCCTCCAACTTGTGTGCTTGTAAACCTACAACCCAACGACACAACGCATTCTTGATGATTTTTTTCTCCCCCAGGACCCTCGAACAAAGAATCATGAGCAAGTATTTTTGTAAACTAGCCCCCAGGGCCTCAACTCAAGATCGGAAGGAGGGTATAGAAGGATTGCAACAAAGCCCACAGACAAAGAAACCAGCCAGTTGCCTTTATTCTGCCATGCATGTCGCACCAGCCTTCACAGGACTACAAAAGGATTTTAGCATGGTATTCTGGTGGGTTTAGGGATCCCTGACGTCCGTTTGTCCCGTGTTACATTCCATGATGCTGATGATGCTGCCCTCGTGCGGGGCTTCGGGGTGGGACAAGTACCGAGTGGCCCACTTTCCATTCATCTTTGGTTTAAGTTTGAAGCTCAACTGTATTGCTGATGCCGAGAACCGGGGGTGATTAAGGGGTTGCGATGGACCTGACTTCAGTCGTTTACAGCAGGGCCAGCCTGTGCCACTAGGCCACTGGGCCAAGAAACCATCACTCGTTGTTCCTGAGTCGGCGTCCTGTGGACTAGAGACACCACAGCAGGCTTGGACAACGATTCGCGTCACAATCCGGCTGGCGCACCAGCTAGAACTTCCCAGTTAGATCTGTTCAAATGTTTGGCTTTCTTGGTTTTAGTTGTTATGTTGTGCCGTTGTTGGCTTGAGGCTCTTCACCACCTTGGCTTTGAAATACCCAGGGTAGATGTTCCATTGCCGCCACGCTAGCTCACATTTTTCTGGACCTAAAACGCAGTGTGTAGACAACTGCGCTTGCTTGAAACGTCCCGTTCCTAGAGACAAGCGCTAAAGGCTCCAGGGAGACGACCCGGGGGGCTGCTCAAGGTAATTTGATTTTGGTAGCGGAGTCTTTGAGGCCTCAGTGGTTTGAAGGAGTTTGGCGACAAGGGAACGATTACAAGCTCCAACGAACTAGATCTCGTGATCAACCAGGCAAATCCAAGTCGCACTGTGCACGGACATTCCAACTGCTGATGGATGAACCGCGGTTTGAGAAAAAGCTGCCGAAGCCTCGCTTCCTCAAGCGAGCATTACCAGTCTGCCATAACGTTGGCGCTACGATATGCTACGATCCATGTGCTACGGAGTGCAAATGCTACTGGCCCAACACCTCCCACTTCAACAATCCAAAAAAAAGCCATTAAGATTGTAAGCAAATGAAAATCACAGAAAATCATTGGGAAATATGGGGAAGGATTTGTTGTAGCATTTACGCGAATTCCAGACTTCCTTGATCCGCTCAAAGCGTTTTGCATCCCTTCCATGTATCTCAACTTTTAGCCTGAAACGCACCTGCCTTTTACAAGGCAGTCATACAAGATGACATGGAAGTACACAGGCCAAGCCAAGAAACCTGTCGAGCTCTTCTTCAGCAGCCGTCGTTTCGTCCATGCTTGCGGGTGGGGCGCCATCTGACGCCTGACCGCGACGCACTGTGCAACGTGAAGGTTCACCTCACCCGGACATGGTGCAGCCAGGCCTTCAACACAGGAAAGCCTTCACTTGGGCGAGCATGTGCATAGGACGGAAAAGAGGCATGGTGAGCGAAGTCTGCAGCAGAGACACCATTCAATCGCATTGGCAAATAGCGGCCATCGGCCACCTGGAAAACCCATGGAGGCAGGACAGCTACACCTGATTCCGCCAGGTAATGCTGGGGCACCCTCAGCCAGCCGTCACCTTGGTCTTCTCCACTTACCAAAGAATTCCACGGCCTCAAAACAAGAGCACCGGGAGCCAACACAACCAACACAGCTTCTGGAGGCCACTCTGAGCTGCGTGCGCACCCCCTAGCTCTCCTGGTCGAACATCCTTGATCCAACCAGTGGCAACAAGGCCAAGACACAACATTTGCATCATTTGCATAGCATGACATCCTTGTCGTTCAGATCTTTGCTGAATCGGTAGCCAAGGCCGCCATAGGAGGCCTGCAGCCTAAGAGGACACGTAGTCGTGCTGGATGAGACATGACAAGTCACGGTTATGGGGCCGAATTCTGTCAAAACGAGCCTTTTTTGATGGCCTTGTCTACAGGCTGTGGATGGGCATTTTGATTGGCATTCCTTCATGCTTGCCACTTCTGGTGGCATAGTGGGCCACCCCTCTAGTACTTACGCTGCGGTCCACGCGGTCAAAGCACAAGCCGCAGCTTCTTGTCCACCCCATCTCATTCGAACCTCAACATGGGGTGCCTCAGAACACCTGCTCCAAACTTCCAAACATTAGCAAAGACAAAGTTTTGGACACATCAACCAATCTGGCAGAACGGTTTCCATACGCAAAAATCATCGGTGGTCTTTGATGCCGAACGGGCATGGCTGCAGACATGCTTTACGCACGTGCCTTGCCATACTGCCTTCATAGACATGGGCTGACATAGGTGTGTGAAACCACGCCTGCCTGTCAAGCTGGGGCACTAGCCAGGTGTTGTCAACGAAGAAGCTTTTCATCACCTGGTCAGCGATAGAGCGGCATGGCAGGCGGAACTTTAAGTCCTTCCTGATCTCAGCTCCCGACCAGAGGAGTTGCCCAACGGAATCCATCACTGGTGTCCAGTAGTGGGATCCAACCTCTCCATCAAGACCAAACACAGACCCTCTGTACTCCTGTTCTACATGTGAACAAGGTGTAAACCTAATGACAGCTGGACTTCCATAGGCAGAGGGCGCCACTGAGCTGGCAGTGCCATGAGTACATAGCACGGATTCACCCATAGCAGAGATTTACAGGAGCAGTTTCAGCAGCTTGGAAACTTGTGACTTTTCTTGGACAGCTCAGTGCCACGTTGATGCGGCTTTGCTCACATCCAGACAACTACACGCTCAACGAGCATACATCAGCATGGTAACTCTCAAACAGGGTGTTAGCGCAACCACCTTCCGGTGCGTCAGAGCCCTTACGAGCCCTCTCCGTGGGCAAACATGTCAGCAACCAAACCTGGCATCCCAGGCCGAGCCTCGAGTAGAACCCCGTCGAAATGCTCAAGCTTTGAAAACCACATTCGGGTCGGGTCTAGAGATGATGCTGAGCTGAGTCGCACAGTCAAGAATTGCAAGCAAACACGTGATGCTTAGTCTGCCTGTGGCCATGGCTGCACGCACAAACCCGCACACTTCGCGTGGGGAGTGCCAGCACACAGCGACGTGAACGCGCTGCGAAGAACCCGTTCCAACAAGATCTTAAATTGGGCTTGCGCCACTAGAGACAAGTTCCTGCAGAGACGACCGTCGGCCTGACATGATCTGTTTGAAGGGGGGCATTCGACTTGAAACTTACGTGGGCAGACCCCTCAAAATGCTGAGTTCTTCCACTAGTGTGCGGGCCTTGTGCATCCAAGCGTGCCTCATGCGCTTGATGTGCCTCATGCTATGATGTTTGCTGACCTCGTTTGTGCATCTCTGCTGAGCGCCTGGTTGCGCTGACAAACAACTTTTCCTCGAGCTGGCCGGCTCGATCATGACAGGGTGGGATTCGTTGATTCACTGAATGAGCCTGTGACCGGGTCATCCCACTGACAGGTGTTTAAGCTTGATCGCACACACACTCGGCGGGAAAAACTTACAGAAAACGCCTTATAGGAACAGCATGCGCTGAACCTACATGAGACCCATCTTGTAACGTCATGTACGTACTGACATTCCAGCAGTCAATGACACATGCTCTAGGGCTCAAGGGATCATCAAGATAAAACTTGATTGTGTAGGTTGCTCTTGATCCTTCATCAAGCGCAAGTCCGCTTTCGGAAGGCCTTGCGGTTCCTGGACAAGACCACGCACTCTCTGCTCAGACGGACAGTCCAGCACCTACACCAGGAGTGGTGAAGAAGTGCTCGCCAGACAGCTCTGTTAGCGCTGCAAAGATCAAACCGTGCCTGTTGAACGGATATCTGCTGGCCTGCGGCGATGTGACCCACAGCATCGCGATCGCTGCATCCTGTGGAGTTCCTGTAAACTGCCGTTCCTGCCGTCACCTGAACGTGGCACTGACAGAGCTACGTCTGCAGATGGACATGCTCCAGAGCTGAGGGTTCGGGCTTTGTAGAGGCCTGGCGCCAAGTCCTTCGCTCTTTATAAAAAGAGAAAAAAGAGGTGATTTAACATGAAACACCAAGAGAAACTCTTGAACCTGCTCGCCCTGCATCGTGCCGGGCCTTGCAAGAGTCATCCCTCCGGCTGACATGGCAAACAGCCTTATGAATGCACTAGTAAGAGCCGATCCAATCCGATCCGACGTTTCCCGCCTCGACCGCGTGTCCGAGATTCGAACGCGAAAAGACATTCTGCGATTCGAAACGCTCAACAACATGAAAACATGAGGTCCATGCCTGGCTTGCTTCGATGAGGACTTCATATTCCAGCTCCCCTTCAGCTGGCGCAACAGCAGACGAGCCGCGCAGCTGGTCCACTTTCCGCACCCATTGCCCTTTTCTGATGGCATTGAGCGAGATGGATGTCTTGCCAAGCGTGTCATCGACAAACAAGTTTGAATTGAACACTTCCAGCTCGATCAGATTCGCATCTCCACTCAATGCAAATGTAAAATCCCGGCCCTCAGTCCACACTGGATCAAGGTTGTTGTCAACTACCGGAGTTTTGCGCTGCTCCTTGCCAACACGAACCACCACATATGGATCGGATTTGTTTCCAAAAAAACTTCCGATGTCCATGTTTCGCAAACCTCGCGCGCTCAGCACCCGGACGTGTAACTGAGGCAGTTTCTCCGCACTTCCAGGTGGCGAGCGCCTCACAGGTGCTGAATCAGGAGTAGCCTTGGAGGATGGCTCGCCAGCGGGCCCAGTTCTGCCCAAGAGGCCTACCATGTCGGGGCCCCCGGGCCCGCCTGGAATGCCAGTCTGGGCGCTGCTCATGCGGAGCTGCGTCTGTGGCACCACGGGTAGCTGTGGCGGCAGGTTGGAGGTCAGTATGGAGGGACGCGTGAACTGCCCCGCTCGCTGATCTGGCAGTTGAGATCCAGAAAACGGGACGCAAAGCTCCGTCTTCTCTGCGCCTCCCATGAAGGAGAACCAGCTGGCTCCGCCAGGCTTAGATTGTACTACCCAGCCCCTGCCATCTTGAAGCTTCAAAAACGTCACGCCGGCTTGATCAGTAATTGTATCAATCACTGGAAAAATCTCACCTGCATGTAAAGCTTGATTAGACTTTGGTCCATCCAAGCTGGGAGTAGCAAGAATCTGCATTGGAGCGCCATCTTGTGGCTGATAGCGCCACTGTGCCACTGGCACAGGCACCTGCTGCTTCAGGGCATGCAAAGAATTCTCCTCATATGCCAAGCGAGCACGCAGCTGATCCAGCTCCCTCTGCGAGGGAAGTGCTGCATTTGCAGCTGGATGCATCGGCAAAGGCTTTAAAGCGCTATGTGCTGACTAAATCTTCAACCCCAAATGTACAGCTATGAGACCGCCAAAGTTTAGATCGCGAGTCCATGTCTCAAAAATTGTAACTGCTTCTCATGTTCTGGTCCATCATCGAGCAAGCAGCATCCCATCAAGCATTTTAAATGTCTATGCCTGCGCACTCTAAGCCTCTTTGTTGCAAAACATGCACAGCCCCGCTTTGCAGGTCAATCTTTTCCGCCATCCTGGCGTGTCTCAGCTGCCTGACCAGTCCCTGGGCTTTCTGGGACCCGGTGCCCTCGTGCTCCAACAGGATGACCTTGTCCTACCATTTGTGCGCAGCTGTGCCGGGTCTACGCGTGGCATTTGTTGCTCAGAGTTCCGGATACGCAAGTTGACAACTCCGAGCGACTCCTGCATATGCTGTCAAATTGAAAGGCATCATTCCATGAACATTCCTACACCGGCCTTCGACTTCATGAGCAGCGCGGCAAGTTTTGGATCTAGATGAAATGTTTCTTCTCGTAGTATCGCATCCTTGCAGCGATGGAGAACGGTTCGACAAGGTCCTGAAGAGCAGTCTGTCCTGTTCCACATGAGTACCCCGATCGTCACAGTAACCATGAGGAGAACCACCAGCATCCAGGACCTTACGCAAAGCTTCTCCACATACTTTCTGCCCCTGCAACTGCCCAAGCGTTAGGCATCTGCGAACTTCTGGACACAACCTAGGTACTCATCACAACAAGTTTGCCATCAGTAACAAAAGTCTGTCTGGGCTCAGTTTCGCACACTCTGCTCAAGCACACTTGTCTGGTCCACTATTCGGCTCAAGATGGATGACCCAGTGGCCTGACAAACACGCAAGCATGTGCAGCAAGAGGTCGGACTGCTGGCTGCACAAATTCAAAAAGTTTGGCCTTGTCTGCCTGTTGCTTCACTGCATTTAGATTCTTCTGAACGGCCTCCGCCAGAATAAAAACAAGCGCCGTCCATCGGATACTGCATCTGTGTTTGATGGAATGTCAAGCAAAGGTACACCGTCACTTTGACAAAATAGTCAACAATTTCCTGCGCATGCCCAGTGCGGCCCTCACAACACGCAAGGATCAGGAATGGTCAGCACCGCATGCCTCCAGTTTGTGCATATGAGCTGCCCCCTCCTCACAGCTGCAACAAGAAGAATGAGCACAATGAAAGCCAAAACCGACAACGCTTGTCATCCGCCGAAATGATTGTCAGCGTCCCTGCAGCCCCACTGGACAAGAAATACACAAATCCTAGAAGGGTTTTCTTCAGGGGGGCCCCGGAAACGCTCACCCTAAAGCCTTTATCTAGGTTGGTGCTTATGCATTTGACGCTGTGTTTTTTTTTGCGCGCCTCTTTTGCGCCCGCATGAGTCGCAACGTGCAATATGCCCCGGTGGAAGTCCGGTCCATCACGCCAACCCCAGCTAGTCCACTGTACTCTGCTCAATGAGGCAATGGGCTAGGAAAGACCGCAACACATTCGCACCATAAAGTTTCACAATCTGGTGATCTTGGAATCCTCCACTTTGCCACACCACAAAAACGCTATGACCCTCGTTGCCACACATGAAATCTGTCAGCTCCGCATCTGGTACCCTTACTGTACGTAGGCCCTCCTGCTTCAGCCAGTCATTTGCATGCCCTTCACTATTTCAGGATTCCTGTACGCCCCTTTGTACATTACTCGCATCCCTCACTTGCTCAGCCTGCATCGCCACTGTAGGGCTCACCGTCCGCCAAGGTCCAGACAACACTCATTGACACAAGTTGATTTGTCCTTGCCAGAAACTGCAGTTTCCGTTGATCATCACTGTCTCCACGTAGATGGACATGGAGGATCAATCGTTGCCGCTTTGGTGGGGGAGGGGCATTATTCATAGCATCCCATAGCACCAAATCATCCCATGACTGCTGGTAGCTCGCATGCAAAATTTCCCAGTTCATGAGGTCATCTCTGGCCTGATTGGCAAGATCCTCCTCATGCAGCTCGAGCTCATGCTGGAAACGAGCTCTCTCCAGCTCCACCTGTGTCGCAAGCTCATCCTGGATGTCCGCTTCGCCCTCCAACATGGCTTCAAACCCATCCCTGGTGTCCTTGACAAAATCTTTTCCTTCTTTACCTCCAAGATCTGCCCTATCAGCCTTCTCCGCGTCCTGCGAATCCACCACTCTTGGCGGCGCCGCCTGCGCAGCCTTCCTGGCTTACATTGACTTGGACTCTTTCGCAAAGATCGGCTTCAACAGCCTTTGCCAACATTTTGTGGCACCATAGCTTGTCCTCCTGATTTTCTATACCTTCGAATCGGTCTCCCTGGTCTCCAAGAGCCACCACAGCTCCCTCCAAGCCGGCAGCTCTTTGTCCCACGAAGCCACGCCCAGCATGAATGCCATAGCGCTTGCTCAGACGGAGAAGTTCTGCTCGAACTTGAGCCTGAGTCGGAGAGAGCTGCCTCCGAGATCGTGAAGATGATGATCAACGAGTTGTGGAAGTGGAAGATGACAGGCATCCCGAGAAATCAAGTGAATCTAGTGGCAGCAGCGCTAGAAATCCGCCAGAAGATGAAATCACACTGCAGGGCGCGATGTTGCTTTGAAGAGACCTGCTGGACTACGACCACGAGCCAGGCAACTTGGGGTACCCACAGTACGTCAGGGATAGAGTCAGGGATACGGCAGTGGAGTGGACGGGGCCCGAGGTTACCACTACGCTGGCGGCCCATCAGCAGCTGCAGAGCTTGGAAACTGCGCAAATTGCTGAACTGCTTCAGGGCCGCATCGAAGAGCTACGCAGGGAGAATGACGAACAGGAACAAGAGGCAGAGGAAGGAGATGACTGCTTTCTGATGTAAGCCTTGGCCACAATGATGATCAGCAGATGAAAGGATTTCTACCTTCGGTCTGGAACTGCAGCTCTTGACAGATGAGCTGAGCCATGCCCCGCCCGCCACACAGACTTTGGAGTTCCTGGCGCTATGCTATATGGCTGCAGGATCCTCCTCTCTTCAGTTTTCAGACCTTTCCCTCTTCCGCAAAGACATCCACGCGGTCCTCATCCAGAAGCCCTGGCCGTGCTCCATCCGTTTCCATGAGGGAGACACCATCTTGCAGGGAGTTTTCTTCCATGAGGTCTCCCTGAGTTGTCTGCGCCCCATACGCCGCTGGCGTATTGTGGGTCATTCCATCCTTGGTTCGAGGGCGCCAAACGCTGACGCTCCCTGTCTTACATTCCTGCTCAACACTCTCTGCCATCTTGCACCGATAGTGGTCACTGCAGAGATCCCGAGGAGCAGGCACAGCGACTGCTGGTTCAAGAACACATAGATACGAGAAAACGTAGGGAAGCTAAAGCCACCCTGCCATCACTGCGGTAGAACATGAAGCAAGGCACTTCTACTAGCAATCACATGAGAGTCAAAGTCACTGCCACTCAACGCTCTGCTGTCTGCAACTACTCCAATCCGGGTCCATGCTTTTGATGAAGACTTCTTCCCTCTGCTTCCAAACCACTCTGTCTCTTGCACATTCTCTCCACGCACCCCCTGCTGCTGCATTAAGTCGCTGTTCACGGGGCATAAGTTTTGCGTAAAACCTTGCTGGATGTCTGCAACCCCGTGGCCTGTTCTGTTCCTGGGCCCACCATGTCGCCAAGAGTCCAAATTTGCGCAAACCAGATCAATCCTATCCATGCTTCTCGAGCGGCGTCCTGCGTACCTCCAAACCCTTGAGAGCCATGCTGTGGACCACCTTGAAACCCCACGCCTACGCGTGACTGCTCTTGCCTCTCGTCTTGCGCGAACAAAATGTTCCAACCACTATTCCTCAGGCTTACGGTTTTTTTCGCAGCATCCAGGCGCACAGCGGCAACTGTAGCTGCTTCACCAAACCCAGCGCGTGCTTGTCTGGCATAATAGCCCCGCCGCACCACAACAGCCCAGCACCAACTACGCCATCCAAAATCTGTAACCTTTTGCGCAGACTGTGTTTTATACACAGGACACGCTTTAGACTCCAGGAACGTCTTGTGCTTTGCTACCGAGCATGTGGACAAGTCTACTCCCACACGCAGCCCCATCACCTCCAGATGATTTTCACTGAAGAGTTTTGTTCCTCGGACGACGATGTCACGGCTTCCACTGGCGAACTGGCTGCAGTATAGTTGACATTTCTGTAAGTTGACGGTGAGCTCCCCATGTTGCTACTTCATCCAAGAGCTGCTGCACCCGCCCTGCCAACACCTCCAACCGTACGTCCCAAAGTATGGCATCGTCCATAAAAAGCGCGTCGCGCACCGGTAGTCCCCCTGTGTCCGGCGCTGCGGTTTCCCAGTTGTGTTTGCACGCTGTTTCCTGAAAACAAAGCTCAGCCAGTAACCCAAAAACGCAGACAATTCCACTGCACCTTGCTTGATCCCCGACGACGTCCCAGAAGTAGACGCACCCCATCTGGTCTGAAGTAGGGCCCGCATCGGTGCCAACAAGGAGTTCCAAGCCTTAGTAAGGTGGTTACAACCCAGCTTCGATATTCGCATTTCCATGAACTTGCGTCTGGAAACTTTATCGAATGCCTTTTCGTACGTCCACCTTAATCCACAGAAGGCCCATGCGCCACACCCTCTCCTGGTGCATCAGCCTGTGGGTGGTGAATATATAGTCACTCGCCTGTCGCCCGCTGCCTGAGCACTGCCTACCGCCTGGTTCGCCTAGCTGAATTTTACTTCGCTCAAGCAGCATTCTGGAGAACAACTTCCAAGTGGCTGAGCTTACCCTGATCGGGCGAACATGTTTAGGCTCGATAAGACAGCATATCTTGGGAAGCACTAGCGAGCTGATCGGTCGCTGGTCGGCGGCCCAGCCTGCAGGGCACCGCGAAAAAAATTCAGCATGAGGCAACGCAGACCTGCTATTTTAATTGTTGCGTCAGAACGTCCTTGCCGTGATTGCTGGCCAAGGCCGATCGGAAAAAACATGTGTCGGTGACCACGGGCAGCTTGGCAGATGACTTGTTTCGCGGCGAACTCTGGTAACACAAGCAGTTTTATCCGGCACGCTTATGTAATTTGGTTTAATGTTATCATGAAAGCTGACGCCTGCTGAGGTCTTGTCCTCGAGCCTCGTCCACACTTGAACCCATGAGCCGAGGAATGTAAATCCGACAATGACGAACAAAGACAGTGACCCGAGATGGCGGAGTTTGAAGGGGAGGAAGAGGAATACGGTCTGGAGAGGAATACGGTCTGGAAGAGGAGTTTCAAAGGGAGAAAGAGGAGTACCGAGATGGGATGGCCAGGGGAAGGTCTGGAAGAAGAGTTCAACGGAGAGGAAGAGAAATACCGAGATGGCGTGGGGAGGGTCTAGACAAGGAATTTAAAGTAGAGGAAGAGAAGTACCAAGATGGCGCCAGAGGGTCTGGAAGAAGAGGAGTTTAAAGGGGAGGAAAAGGAGCACGGAGATGGTGCGCGGAGAGTCTGGAAGAGCAGTCTAAATGGGAAGGAAAGAAATACCGAGACGCAGAGGGAAGGATCTGGAAAGTAGTTTAAAATGGAAGAGGAGCACCGAGATGGCAAGGGGAGAATCTGGAAGAGGAGCTTACAGCGGAGGCGGAGGAAGAGGAGCACTTATTTGAAGGGGAGCAAGAGGAGCACCGGGATGGCGAGGGGGAAGGTCTGCAAGAGGAGCTTAAGAAGGCGGAAGAGGAGCACCGAAATGGGGAGGGGAAGGGGCTGGAGGAGGAGTTTAAAGGAGAGGAAGAGAAGTACCAAGATGGCGAGGGTCTGGAAGAGGAGCCTAAAGGGGAGGAAAAGGAGTCTCGGTGCACGGAGAGTCTGGAATAGGAGTCTAAATGACAGGGAGAGAATCAAGAGCAGCACAGAAATGGTCTGGAAGAGGAGCTTACAGCGGAGGCGGAGGAAGAGGAGCACCCAGATGGCAAGGGGGAGGGTTTGGACGAGGAATTCAAAGGGGAGCAAGAGGAGTACCGAGATGGTGAGGGGAGGGTTGGGAAGAAGGATTTAGGGGGGAGCAAGAGGAGCATCGAGATGGTTAGGGGGAGGGTCTGGAAGAGGAGGAGCTTATGAGGGAGGAAGAGGAGTACCGAGACGGGGAGGGGAGGGCTCAAGGGCCACTTGGCCAGCAAAA